CGATTATCAATAGTTTATCCATCAAGAATGCTCCCAATTGATTCTTGTATCGACGAATCCTACTTTTCATTTTTGGACCACGGGAATTCAATATCGTGCTAGTTGATACCGCATCATTATTCCCTCTCTCTTGAAGAAGATTCGCCCTTGACTCTTTATAGAATCTTGAACCATGATCATCGCCACTAAAATTATTACTTTTTAAAATATTTATCTTTGTATTACGCGAAGCGAGCGGGCTTTTGCTAGTATAATCGACAAGAACCAATCAAAAATATCTTAAAACAAATTCTTGAACAGGATTAAACTAATATAAATCATTAATATTTAAAATAACAAATCGAAGTTCTACTTTCTCCAGCCTCCGCAACCAAAACATAAGTATATGAGCAGAATGTTTACACTTTACAGTACTCCATTAGGGGAATGGATCAGGTCAGTAACCTTATGGTGAGTAACCCGCCCACATCAGTATGACATCAACATCCTCTCTCTCCTGGAAAGCTTTTAATTTTCCCCTCCTTAATCTTTGACAGACGATTTCTCACTCGTTTTAAGTCGAAATTTAATTTTTTTTGCACAGTTAGATCATATTAATTGTGCTCTTCAAAATGATATCCACTTTGATATATTTTTCGAACAAAAAAAATTGAGTCATTTTATACCAGTCTATACCATATGGTATTGACTGGTATTGAAATAAGAGCATACCTATGGTTTGAAAAGCGTACCATGGTGGTATGGCACAAACCAAGACTGTAGGATGATTGAATACATGATAGTAGAAGTATATTAATTGTCATTTACGACTTTTAACATTGTATACCATAAAATACCATAAAATACCACCCCGTACCAGGGTGGTATTGTATGGTATTGTGTGGTATTTTTTGGTCTTCTAATTTGTTCACCCAGAAATTTGTAGATCAAATAGATCATGATGAACTCGTCCCTGCTGTGCAAACGTTTTCAAAAACGAATGAAAAACGAAGAAAATACCATATGGTATGCAGTTGGTACCGAAAGGCCAGAATTTTTTTTCCTCAAAAAATATTGAAAATTGATCTCATTTTGTAGAGCACGATGAACTCGTTCCATCTGTGCAAAAAAAAATTAAAATCCGAGTTAAAACGAAAAAGATATGAGTCAATTAAGAAAACTAGTGAAAATAAAAATGGTCTTTAATTCTCCATCCTTAGATCTGGATTTTCTAAATGAAGGGTCCAGATTTGGTTATTGATGGGTGCATAACCATGGGTTATGCACCCTATCTTGAGCCCTCCATTAGGGGAAAGAAGAATCATAGTACTCGTCTCCTTTATATATATGTTTCAGAAAGTTGTATGTATAATTAACCAGAACAGATTAGTAAATTACTCATTTTTAACCATGAACTAAATGATTTTTTATAGGAGACATTTTACAATGTCATATAGTATTGGTGCTATAGGTTTTTGCTTTTATGGTACAACTTAAACTTGTACATTTACGTTATGGTACAACTTCAGATTGTACCTATACTTTTTATACAAAATTTTGTATGGTACAACTTGAACTTGTACTTTTATGTGATGGTATAACTTTAAGTTGTAAAGTTATACCATAACATAATGATACAAATCGCTTTATGGTACAAGCTAAACTTATACATTTAATGTTATGGTACAACTTTAATTAAGTTGTACATTAAAACACCAATGCTATATAACATAGTAAAAGTGCTCTTTTCATAGACTAGGTGAGATGTGATAAGCTGGATTTCATATCAGGACAAAAGGCACCTAACCATGTCATTTTTACCTGAACTAGAGACTTATAATTGGATAGATGGTACTCTAACCACAAGTCAACAAACATAATGAAAGCTAAATGAATCATGCACTGGCCCCAACTCCCAACCCTTAACTCCTAAAATCAAGAGAAAGAACGCCGGATGTAGCAACGAATGAGGGCTAGCTACTGTCTGTCCTCCCAAGATTTAACTACTAAACTAGTAAACCTCATTGACTTACCTTAAATTAAACCACTAAATTTGATCATACCTAGGAGAGCAATAAGAAATTAAACCACTGAACCTTAACATATATGCATTATAAGTAATTGCTTGCAAGCGCTATCAAACGCTTGATTGAGAGAGCTAGAGAAGAATGTCAACTACCTCATCAAATTTTCTCCACTTTTGACGCTTCAGCAGTCCAAGCAATGGCTCTGCTTCTTCACCAGACTAAATACTATGACAACACTCCTTGTATTGTTATTGTAACAACACTAGTCTCCAACCAATAGGAAGGTAGGGTTGTGAAGACTTTTTATTAAATGAGTTGATCTAGTGTAAAATCAAAGCAGGGGTATAATTGTCATTATGAAAAATATGTTTAAATAATAATAAAAAATATTTTTTTTATTTTCGGCCCAAAATTTTGGCCGCCGGAATTCGGCCATCGGTCGCCGGAATCTAGTCGTCGGTCACCGGAATATGCTTTTTGTCGCCGGAATATGCTATTTTATCATCGGAATATGCCACCGTCGCCGGAATATGCTCACCGTGGTCGGAATATGCTTACCGGCGTCGGAATCTAGTCATCGGGGCAGGAATATGCCTATCGGCGCCGGAATCTACTCACTGACGGTCATCGGAGTTTGGTCAACGGCCAACGACCACCGGATAGGTCTGCATTGTGAGATATATGGTTTGGTTTCTCATATTTTTGTATGCCTTTTGTGGTTTGCTTTATCGTGTTTGTGGTTTGCATTAAGAAGTTTCTGGTGTGCTTTAAAAATTTTTGTGGTTTGCTTTGCTGGGTTTATGGTTTGCTTTACGGTATTTGTGGTTTGCATTAGGACGTTTCTGGTTTGTTTTAATATATTTGTGGTCTGCATTAGGACATTTTTGGTTTGCATTATGAGGTTTCTGGTGTGCTTTCGCAAATGTTGTGGTTTGCTTTGTGAGGTTTGTGGTTTGTTTTAGGAGATTTGTGGTATGCATTAGGAGGTTTTGGTTTGTTTTATTGTGTTTCTGGTTTGCACTAAGAAGTTTATGGTGTGCTTTCGAAAATTTATGGTTTGCTTTGCGGAGTTTCTGGTTTGTTTTAATATATTTGTGGTCTGCATTATGACATTTCTGGTTTGCTTTCCGTGGTTTGCTTTACCGTATTTTTGGTTTCCATTAGAGGATTTCTGGTGTGCTTATGAAATATTTATGGTATGCTTTGTGAGATTTTTGGTATCGTTTAAAACACTTGTGGTTTGTTTTAGAAGGGTTTTGGTATGCTTTTTGTGGGTTGCTTTACCGTATTTGTGGTTTGCATTAAGAGATTTCTGGTGTGCTTATAAAATACTTGTGGTCGGCATACCAATAACTCCTAACTGCATCTAAAAAAACGCATAACTGCATACAAGGTTCAAAAAAGCGCTAGGCGTAAGGTGAGCGGTGTGCTCTGGACTAGCGCCTAGCCCGCTTAAGCGTTGCCTAGGCACACCTAGGCGTTCAAAGCAAAAATTAAAAAAATTCTCACAATTTTGAATTTTCTGGAATGAAACTTCATATGATCACAACTAGCAACAACTAATTAGTTATTACCATTCACCAAACACAAATATATTTATAATACATGTATAACCGAGCGAAATAAAACATAAATTTTTTAGGACATCAAGATTAATTGCAGACTAATGATGATGTTATTCCTAAATGCTAATAAAATAGGCACTTTAATTTCATTCCAATCTAATATGTGGCTTACTATCTAACGACCATGTAGCATTTATTGGTTAGATGTCAAACCTATTTGACAGGTGGATGCATTTGAAGCATAGAGACATTAGAATTTAGAAACACTTAAATATAAACCATTAAGAACTCATATTTGCTTTTTAATTACCACTGCCACTACCTTTTGCCTTTCTAATTGTCCAGTCGCAAACAACCAACCCAGCCACCAAGCCCTAATTCTCTGCATCCCGTTAAACATCACCATGGTAGCAACAAACTGAAGTACAAAACAGAGCAACCATTATGGTGATTTACAGTAACAAACAAACATGGCCCCTGTAGTTCTGTGGTGATTTACAGTAACAAATAAATATGGCCCATGAAGGTAGGTAGGTACGTGAATGAATGCAGAGCAGAGAAGACTGCAGCAGAGTGTTGAACTTGTTCAGTTCTTCTTCCCCACCATCGTTCACCATTGATGTTTTCTTTCCTCTGTAATTGCTCTGAATTCCCACGTCTGGCTTTGTTCTCGTTTAAACCCTAGCACCATGGTAGCTAGGTTCACTAGTTTCTCATCATCCGTCAATCTCAATTCCGTCGAACACTCTCTCGAACCGCAACTTCTCATTCTTGTTTTCGACTTGGGACATGCCCTTTCCGAGGAAGTCAAAGGAAGCTCTTCGCGGAAGCTCCGGCCAAGAAGAGCAGGAAGCCACCGCGACCACAGGAACCAGTCCTCAAACCAACCATAGTCGAAGAGGTGTCGTCAACGACGACTGGGAAGAAGATCGGCTGCTCTTTGACGATTACGATCTCGACGAAAGTAACTTATCACTGGTTCTCTCTTCGCGATGGCGGCGGAGATGGTTTAAATAATTTTTTATATGTTAAATTACCCTATTACCCTTAATGAATAATGTTGTTATAGTAACAATAAAAAAGCTGTTGTTATAGTATCCGCTCCCACCATAGTAGGGGTGGGCATCCGGTTCGGTAAACCCGAACCGAACCGAGGCGAAACCGATTAAACCCGAACCGAAACCGAATAGCATTAGTTCGGTTCGGAATTCGGAAGGCAAAACCCCACATTTCGGAAACCAGGGTATGCACAACCGAACCCGAATTCCGATTAACCGACCGAAAAACCGAAAAAATAAAAAAAGGAGACCACAAACTAAACAAGCCCACTCACTTACATAGCCCACCTAACGCCCAAAACCAACTGACTGCCCAGCCCAGCCCAACCTTTCTAAACCCTAACAACAACTATAGATTGCAGCCGATTCTCATCTCTCCTGCAGTCTCCACCAACTCGATTCTCATCTTCGTCCACCATAAGAAGAACCAAGGAGAGAAAGAAATCAGGTCGGCACCGTCTTTCTCTTCGCCATGAGTCCATCTTTTCTCTCCGCCCTAGGTCCCTCTCTTCCCTTCGAGGCTTCAACCTCACAAAAAATCGAAAACAGAAGCGAAGGTCAGAAATCAGATCTCGCGATCCTCTCTCCCCATGCGAAACAAGATCTCCAAACTAACATGCAACTCAAATAGAAATAATACCTTCGAATTTCCTCATAGTCAGAGTCGTTATCTGCAACATCGATCGGGACACAAGTAGAGGAAGATTTGCAGCAGCGGGTCGCGTTTCATCTTCATTCCTTCCCTTCTATTCTGCTTTTTTTTCCCCCTTCTTTCTCTGGGGCAATGGAAATTGTCCTGTGGGTTGGTTTTAATGGTGGCAGATGGGGTGGGTAGAAAAGGTAAGGAAGGTAGAGAGCTTGAGGGAGAAAAGTGGAGAAGGGGGAGAGAGAGAGAGAGAGAGAGAGAGAGGTAGAAAAGTGGGGGGAGGAAGAGTCAGAGGGAAATAAATGGGTCTGTGGGTTTGGGGTCTATTGCCCAGCAGCACCAAAACGCGGCACATTAGCACTTTTCAGTTTAGGACAGAAAACCGAATCAAACCGAATATATTTCGGTTCGGACAAACCGAACCGAAATATAATTCGGTTCGAAATCGGTTTGCCCTGCAGGTGAAATCGGAATACCGGTAGTGCCCTATTCGGTTCGGTTCAAACTGAACCGACCGAATGCCCACCCCTACACCATAGGGGTCGGTGAACAAACACACTTGTAAACCGACACACCCGTCCAACCCGACCCAACCCACCCGTATTTATGTTAGAGTTAGTCAATAGAGTTGTAATACAACATTGATGGGAGAAGTAAATTATAAAGATGTAGTCTTTTGGCAATTTAATTAATTAACATTTGAATATTCTGAAAAGAAGTGTCCTTCCAGAAAGGTAACTCCCTTTTTCTGTGAAAGGATGTGTCCTTCCATAAAGGTAACTACCTTTTCTGTGAAAGGATGTGACTCTCCGGAAGGTAACTTCCAGTTTTCACAACTATAAATAGATGACTTCCATAACTCTTTTAATGAGAGAGAATTCTTCTTCTTCCCGTTTTTCCTTCTCTATTTCATAATCACAGAAGTCTGCAAGATTGCTGCTTCCGAACTTAGAATTGAAGGGACTCCTGGGGGTGGTTTGCTCGAGCCTACCAGCAATTTGTAGTGAGGGCAAATAACACTCTAAGGAGAGTGATTAATTCACGCCTTCAATCGATTCTTTCCTACCAGTTCCTGACAATCTTAGAGTGTTATTTGTTGAAAAATGAATTCTGGAGTGGAGAGTACGTTGAAGGCGTATGCTTTTGATTCCAACAAGTATGGCTCTTGCTGTTTTATTGGTTTTAGAAATTTGAGGTACCGCTATGCAGAAAAGGATTATGGAAAGAAAGAATGAAATAGTGCACAGAACTCGCGCGGTTCCCAACTTCCTATACATGCAATGAGTGGAAATATTGCTGACTCCGGGTACTGTTTTTCTTTCTGTCATTGGCATGGTCCATTTTATACAATTTATGCACTTAGTCTCCAGGCATGCATTGTGAATTGGCTTTTTTGTTTGTCTTCTGAAGAGAATTCCATTTTGGATTTCGTTGTTTAATAAAACAAAATAGAGTAAAGGTTATATATGCATGAGATTCTGGACGTGTATATATTGTACATGTTTGTTGCTGTTGATGGAAGGGAGCGTACGGTTCCTATATATTGTTTGTGAAATATATAGAGTATATATATCTTCTGTTTCTGCGTCTGGAGATAAAGGAAGAAAAGGTGTTATGGCCATAAAGAAAAGAAAGGAATGAACTTGGTTGTAGTTGTAGAAGCACCATAAAGATATTTCCTAGATCATTCATGTATGCATATATATACTTGCATGTAAATTGTTAATTAATTTGATCCAACGAGGTATTGCTCTCATGAACCAAAGCATTGGTTGGATTAATTTGAATGGATACAACCGTTGATTCTTCTAATCATCAGAAAGTTTCATATGTAAGTATGACAGTGGTTGTGTTTACGGGTTTTGTTAAAGTGACATTTTTATCACTTGATATATATGTAACATGATGCGATAAAAGATTAACCAATTGATTTGGTTAGTGATATCAAATACTTTTCTAGTATTTGAGATGAGTACAAACTCATCATATTATGAGAAGAGTTTGGAGAAATTCAACTTGTTTGAATTTGGAAGAATTCACGTTGAATTCTTGAAACAAACTTGGTCAACAAAATTTGTATGAGTTTCAATTTGATGCTTGCAAGATCTAACAATTTGGTTTATGTAACAAAATTGTTTGAGTTGTGCACTTGAAGCAAATTGAAATAATGGTGAAAAGCGTTCCTCCGACATGGTAATTTGTTTATCATGTATTGGTTTATGATGTCATGTTTCATATGTCATGAGGGAAAGGAAAAATGAAACTAAGATGATGTCATGTTTCACATGCCAAAGAATGATGATTATCAAAATAATCATTGCCAGAATTGTTTATGGTATATATAGACATATACCATTGGCAAACAATTTGGCTTGAGAACTAATTGAGATGATCTTATTGAACTTAAATTCTGAATTACTTATGGTATGTGTGTGAATTTATACCATTGGAAAGTAATTAGAAGATTGAATTAGAATATTCATTTGAATTGCTTGTGGTATGTCAAGTTACCTTCGTGAAATGTCGTTGGTAAGTAATTAGATGATATTTCCAATACAATCTGGAAATGCAACTGAATTACTTGTGGCATCTCAAGTTACCTTGACCAATTCTATTGGTAAGTAATTAGATGATATTTCTAATAATATCTGAATTGTTTGTGGTATACTGATGACTCGATATTTGCACAGGTTTTCCCCTTTGTTCCTTGATCGTTTAAGCTTGCATTATTGCTTCTTTGGCCTATTTTACGCTAGGTTGTGTTCCTTTGTCATATTTCAGGTCCTAGCACATAAAGTGAAGCATTGGCGCAAGTTTCAAGTCAATCAGAGATCAATTGGCGATTCAGGAGAAGAAACTCTGGCATGACCTGAAGAAGAATGGATTTCTACCTCACTTAATGGACAAAGAATCGTGCAAGTTTGACATGAAAAGAAAGAGGACGAGACTACGAGCGTCTGGGATCAAACGGCGACTGATTCGGAGTCCGGACGAGGGAGAAACGAAGCATTGAATATAGGGGAACAGGTTCGGCAGTAAAAACACGGGCAGGAGGCCTTCAAAACACGGCCGTGTTCTGTGACCGTGCTTTTACTGCCGAGAGCAAATCCGAGTTTGGCAGACATGAGCTGATTACACGGGCAGGGCCGAGACAAAGCACGGGCGTGTTTTCCCAAAGCACGGCCGTGTTCTCCCAAAAGCACGGCCGTGTTTTCACCAACAAGATGGCCGTGTAATTAACCCTAGCCAAAGCACGGGCGGGCTGAGGCAAAGCACGGCCGTGCCCTCGACCGTGCTTTGGCCACTGATGCCTTTTTAGGCAGATTTTCAGCCAAAAGAGGGGGGATTCGAGTTTTAGAGAGACAGAGCGATTCCTAGAGAGAGAAAGCGACGACAAAGAGCCTCCAAGTGCCCTAGATCGATCTTCAACACCATTGGAGCTTGGTTTGAGCTTGGAGAAGTGCCGATTCAACGTCCAGGAGCAGAAATCCATCTTCACAGTATGATTTCCGCGTCTGATTCTGCTTTTGCTTCTCTCTCCATGGAGTAGTTCTCCCATTCATCTGGGTATGGGAAACCCTAGTTCTGTATGTTAGGTTTGATTGTATGAACCCAAGTATTGATTCTATGATTTTGATTATATTCGATTGAGGTTTGAATGATTGAATGACTTGAATCCTGATCAAATTCCTGTTGTTTCTGCTTTAACCTAGAATGATAATATCTGCCTAGGTTGATAGAGTATCCTTAATCGAAGGTAGTGAATTGGTGACTTTAGTCGAGGAGCCAGTTCACTATTCTGTACCGAATTCCATTCGGTAGTGGAGGTTTTGTTCATAGGGCCTCAATCTGTTTACTCCGGTGGAGGTTAGTCGCCCGCTAGAGACTCAGATTGAGAGGGTCTGAAGACCTTTAGTCGATACTTCAGACTGTTTGAGAACCTTCCGCAGTATAACTATCATAGAAATTGAACTTGGTAATTACAATCCGGCTTAACTGCATACTAGGGGGAACCATATCCGGGTGACCTCTCTTAACCTGAATACAACCGTTTAGTTGCTTTGCTTGCTTGTTAGTTTAGACCTTCACTAAAGTTTCATCGCTAGATAATACGAATTCACTGAGTAGTCATCACATCTAGGACCCGGGTTGACAATAAAACCCAAACCCGCTATACTACGCTTTAGGAAGTGGTTACACTTGGCCAATTTCTAGAGTGACAGTAGGAGTGAGTCAAGTTTTTGGCGCCGTTGCCGGGGACGGCTAGGTTGTTGAAGAAAAGTGATTTCTGTTACTTTAGCATTTTCATTTTTTGCATTGAGTTTTTGTTTTTCCCACTTGTGCCTTCACGGGTGCTTTGCTTGATTGTGTGCAGATAGTGCATGACCCGTAGCCAGTCGGGAGGTTTACTGCCGTTGAATCCTGAGATTGAGCGCACCTGCAAACAACTTCGGAGACAACAGCAAGCTAGACTGGCTACGGTGGAGCGCCGAGACGGCCAATTGACCAGCGACTCCGAGGACGAGTACGAGATGGAAGGCGATCAGAACCCACCTCCTCAGAACCAGATCCTGGGGAACGACCAACACCCCCAGGGAGCTGGGCACCATCATCATCCACCACCACCGGGTCCCACCCTGGAGTACTACTATACTCCACGGATTGCTGACATCCGCCCTGTCATCCTCTATCCGCCCATTCCTGCAAACAACTTCGAGATCAAGCCATGCTGGATTCAGCTTATCACATCCTCTATCCAGTTCCATGGCTTGAAGGATGAGGAAGCCCGGGCACACCTTTCCCGTTTTCTGCAGCTGGCGAACGGGTTCAAGCTAAATGGTGTTCCGGATGACGCAATCCGCCTTCACCTCTTCCCCCATTCTCTGGCGGGGAATGCTAAGAGGTGGTTGGAGACCCAGCCCCCTTTGTCCATCACTTCTTGGGACGATCTGGCGGATAAGTTCGTGCACAGATATTATCCGGCATCGAAGACTACTGAGATTCAGCGGGAGATCACTCACTTCCGCCAAGAGCCAGATGAGTCCCTTCGTGATGCATGGGAGCGGTACATGGGATACTTCTGGCAGTGTCCCCATC